TGGGAAGGTGGCTCAGTGGTAGAGCGCTTGCCTTGCATGCCTGAGGCCCTGGGTTCGATTCCTCAGCACCACATAAGCAAAAAGAAAAAAAGCTGGAAGTGGCGCTGTGGCTCAAGTGATAGAACGCTAGCCTTGAGCTGAAGAGCTGAGGGACAGCGCCCAGGCCCAGAGTTCAGGCCTCACAACCGGACCCCCCCCCAAAAAAAAAACAAAAAAACAACTCATTTGAATGATTGTTGAAGGTGATTTTTTTTTTTTGGTTGTTTCTACATTTTGGCCATAGTAGGCATAATACTGCAGTAAGCATCTCCTACCTTTAACCTTTTCCTTTCTTTGACTTTATTTTTTGTTGTTGTTGGTCATGAGGCTTGAACTCTGGGCCTAGGCACTGTCCCTGAGCTCTTCAGCTCAAGGCAGGTGCTCTACCACTTGAGCCACAGCGCCACTTCCCACTTTCTGGTGGTTAAGTGGAGATAAAAGTCTCACGGGGACTTTCCTGCCTAAGCTGGCTTTGAACTACGATCCTCAGATCTCAGCCTCCTGAGTAGCTAGGATGACAGGCGTGAGCCACTGGCTTCTGGCAAGTCTGTGAGCTGCTCACCTGTCTTCTCCATCAGCGGCAACAGACGCCCCTCCACCTGGCCGCGGAGCATGCCTTCCAGGATGTAGCAGAGATGCTCCTGGTCGCTGGGGTTGACCTCAATCTGAAAGATAAGGTACCTCCCCCTCAGCCACCTCTCGGGGCTCCCTCCTCTCCAGAGACCCTACCACAAATGCAAGAACCCCCACATTGCCGGACACTGCTCACACCTGTAATCCTAGCCACTCAGGAGGCTGAGATCCGAGGGTCACAGTTCAAAGCCAGCCTGAGCCAAAAAGTCTGTGAGACTCTTATCTCCAATAAACCACTAGAAAACTGGAAGTGGTGCTGTGGCTCAAGTGGTAGAGCAGCTAGTAGTGAGAAAAAAGCTCAGGAACAGCGCCCAGGCCTGAGTTCAAGTCCTAGGACTGGCACGCATGCGCACACACATACACACGCACATACACACACACAGACACACACACACACTCCCCAAACTCTAATGTATCAAAGTCCTAAGAAACATGGAAGTAATGATTCCTGGCTACTGTTTTATTCTACCCGTGACCCCCTGCACCCGAGTCCTACAGCCAGAAAACCCTTCTGCTCCCCACCCTTTCTTTGGGCAAGAGGGTTTGTGGTCAGTCCAGAAGTTTCCCTGAAGCCCCCTGGGGAAACTTCCCTTCTGGCTCTTCCTTGCAGCAAGGAAAAACCGCCCTGGCAGTGGCCGCCCGCAGCAACCACGTGGGCTTGGTGGACATGATCATAAAAGCCGATCGTTTTTACAGATGGCAGAAGGTACGGAGGCCCGATCGCCACTGGTCCCTGCAATGCTTCAGCCCCGGGGCGGAGCTAGCTTTGAGTCCCAGGCCTTCTCCCAGTGGTGAGAACCCCACCCCGTGTACCACCAAGCTTGTATCTGAGGATCGAGAGATGGGCGAGTTCCACCAGTACTGCACGAGGCCAGCTCAGGTTCATGGTGGCATGGATCTGCCATGGTCACTGCTCCGACTTCTGCCTGAGGGACACAGGTGTGGCAAAGTAGGGACAAGTTGGCTCCATCCCACCTCCAGCTCCCAGTGACAGCCTTGGGGCACTGTGTTTGCGCAACTTTCAGAACTCCGAAAGCGTGTGGCTATTGATTGGTGATGTCTGCTCTGGACTTGGGGGAGAGAAAGAGGCAGAATGGAAGGGATGTTTTTTGTTTTGGTATGCTTGACGGTGTTTCTGTTTTCTCTTTTTTTTTTTTTTTTTGAGACAAGGTGTCTCTATGTAGCTCTCTGACTTCAAACTTGTGTTCTTCCTACCACTCCCTCCTCAGTGCTAGGATGATAGGCATATAATCCATCATGTCTGACCTAAGGTGTCTTTATACACAGTATATTTTGCACTACAATAATAATTTCCAGGGCTGGGAAGGTGGCTCAGTGGTAGAGCGCTTGTCTTGCATGCATGAGGCCCTGGGTTCGATTCCTCAGCACCACATAAGCAGAAAAAAAAAAGCTGGAAGTGGCGCTGTAGCTCAAGTGGTAGAGCGCTCACCTTGAGCTGAAGAGCTGAGGGACAGCGCCCAGGCCTAGAGTTCAAGCCCCACGACGGACAAAAAAAAAAAAAATAATAATTTCCCAAAAATTATCATTAGACTTGGAATGTGGCTTAGTGGTAGATGCTTGGCTAGCATGCATGAAGCCCTGGGTTTGATTCCTTAGTGCCACATAAACAGAAAAAGTCGTAACACTGTGGCTCAAGTGATAGAGTGCTAGCCTTAAGCAAAATGAAGCTTAGGGTCAGTGCCCAGGCCCTGAATTCAAGCCCTAGGACTGGAGCAGGGTGGGGGGGGGAGGGAAGAATCTTAGCTTGGCTTTGAACCTTGATCCTCAGATCTCAGCCTCCTGAGTAGCTAGGATTACAGGGGTGAGCCACCAGTGCCTGGCTCAAAAGTTAATATTTTCTTTTTTTTTGCTGATAGAGAGGTTTGACTAGGGCCTTGTGTTCTTGCTTGGCTTGCTTGCTCATGGCTGTTACTCTACCACCTGAGCCATACTTCCATCCCAGATTTTGACTGGCATCTAGAGATAGAATCTTATAGCCTTTTCCTGCCGAGGCTGGCCTCAAACTGTAGTCCTCTAGATTTCAGCCTCCTGAGTAGTAGGATTAGAGGCATGAGCCACTGTTGCCCCCTTACTTTTGACTTTGTAACAATTAGAATCCCATATTCATTCCTGTAGAGGAGCTTGGGCTTGTGTGGGCTTCATTTATGCCTGTGTGATCTGTCATGTTCACACTTGCTTTGCCTACAAAGAACCTTACAATCCCCCCCTTCTCTACTTGCTGGGATTCAGCAAGCCTGGTACTTAACCTACCTGGTATTGGCCACAATTTCTCAGTGGTCCTACTAAGCCCCATGCTAGAAGAACACAGAGGCTGGCCATGTAGCTCAGCTGTCAGATACCTGCCTAGTACACAGGAGGTCCAGGGTTTGATCCTAAGCACAGCCAAAACAAAGACATGAAAACAGCTCCTCAACCATGAGAAATCTGGGGGGGCTTCCCGGAGGAGGCAGCACTATACCTGTGGGGTTAAGGGTCAGGCAGGTGAATAACAGAGCCTGTGGGACGACAGCGCCAGCAGTTTGAGGCAAGGCTCAGAGTCAGAAGCCAATCTGGCCAGGTGCTGGTGACTCCCGCCTGTAATCCTAGCTTCTCAGGAGGCTGAGAGCGGAGGATCGCAGTTCAGAGGCAGCCCAGGCAGGAAAGCCCAGAGATTCTTATCTCCAGGGAGCTACCAGAAAACCAGAAGTGACAGTTGTGGCTCAAGGGGTAGAGCGCTCACCTTGAGCAAAAGAAGCTCAAAGATGGCACCTAGAATCTTGAGTTCAAGCCTCAGCCCAAACCAAACAGAAACAGTCTGATGTACATTAAGTGGCAGGCTGACTCAGTTTCTCAGGCTGCCCAGCTCAGGTGGGTAATGGGGCTATGGCTCTATATCACCCCTGTCCAAAGGGGGGACTCACTGGCAGGGAGCCCCCCCCAGACAGCTGTGTATGGTGGGATCTGCTCCCCAGGATCACCTCTCCTGCAGGGACCCCAGCCAGCCCCCCAGGAAGAGCGTGACCTTCAAGCAGGACCACCGGCCCGAAACGCAGCCGCTCCGCACTCTGCTTTGGAACCTCGCCTCCAATTGCCTGCGGCCCCACGAGTGGAAGAGGCTGGCGGATTCCTGGCGCTTCACCGAGGCCCACGTCTCCGCCATTGAGCAACAGTGGACAGGTACAGCTTCGCCCCTACCCCACCCAGGGCAACCCGCAGCCCAGACCCCGCACCGCCTCCACCTCTTCCTGTGCTGCCCCAATCCTCCAGGTCTGAATCCTCCCCGCAGTGACCCAGAAAAGCCACAGACACCCTCAGAATTACCCCAGCTGTACCCACCTACCACCCCTGCATCGAAAGCCATCCCTAGTGGGAAGAAAAGGCCCCGTGTCATCACTGTTATTTGATATCTATTTGGAAATTTCAACCTTTGTACTAAGGCATGATATAAGGTAAAAAGCCACAGTGCTGGTAACTCACACCTGTCATCCTAGCTACTCAGGAGGCTGAGATCTGAGGATCGCAGTTCAAAGCCATCCTGGGCAGGAAAGTCCATGAGACTCTTATCTCCAATTAACCACCAGAAAACCAGAAGTGGCGCTGTGGCTCAAGTGGCAGAGCACTAGCCTAGAGATGAAGAGCTGAGGGACAGCGTTCCAGGCCCAGAGTTCAAGCCCCATGACAGACAAATAAAACAAAACAAAAAAAAAAACAAAGGGGGGGGTACATTAACCCCTACCATGCAGAATTATATTCCAAACACGGCTGTCTATTCAGCTAGAAAGCTTGAGACCTTCCCGCTGCCTGGCCACACCCAGCCCCGTCAGAGAGTCCAGCAGGCCCCAGGGGACAGTAAGTTTCCAGTTTGCCTTCCAGGTTATTTCCCAAGAGCAGCTGGGGCTGTGGACCGGGGTGCAGGGGGCTGAGCGAGGCCAGCTGCCTCTCATTCTGTTGTCTGCTCGTTTGTAACACAGCCATGAACAGGCAGCCCCCCCCCAATGTGTGTGCATCTGCTACCCCAGGATAGATGCCAACGCCCCCCCCTCCAGTGAACAGAGTGGATGCCCAGAAAAATGCCCAGGGCTGAGGAAACAGGAAGGTTCCCAGGATCATCTGACCCCCAAGATCCCAACCCCACTTCCCAGTCCTTGGGATTGAACTCAGGGCCTGGGCGCTCTACCACTTGAGCCACAGCTCTACTTCTGGCTTTTTAGTGGTTCATTGGACATAAGACTCTCATGGACTTTCCTGCCCGGGCTGGCTTTGAACCACAATCCCCAGCCTCTTGAGGAGCTAGGATTACAGGCGTGAGCCTGTGGCACGGTCCATGCTCACTTCTGTCAGAGAACTGCTCCTCCCTTTGCCCTGAGCAGGGTCCGGGGAGGCCTTTGGCCTGCTGCAGCAGGGGGTGCCCAGCGGGGCCAAGGGTGGCATGGACGTGGGCTCCAGAGGGGTGCCAGATCAGCTCTTGACTGGCTAATCGCCTGCAGGACCCCGGAGCTACCAGGAGCACGGTCACCGCATGCTGCTGATCTGGCTGCACGGCGTGGACACGGCGGGCGAGGATCCCAGCAAAGCCCTGTTTGAGGGGCTGGCGGCTATTGGCAAGAGGGACCTGGCCGGTAAGCGCTCCCCCTGCTGGGCACCTGTGGGAATGACAGGGCCCCGCCGCATGGTGTACTGGCGCCGCCAGTGTGGTGTGTGACCTTTCTCTGGACCTTCCAGCTGCCTGGTCTTTGCTCTGCTGCCAGGCAGAACCTGGAAAAACCACAGGGCCTCTTGGCTGGCCCTGTTTCCCAGGTGATCTCTTTGACCTTCACACCACCAAAGCTATGAAGACCATCATTTTATTTTATTTTTCTAATTTGAAACAGTAAATATGGCATATTTCCTAATATGAGTTGTACCAGCCAGATATGATAAACTTCTGGGTCATCATAAGCTAGGTCAGTCCCAAAAAGCCTGGTGTGAGCCTGACTCAGCTAATCCTGGGAACCTTCAGTAGAGCAGGATAAAGACTGATTACAGATCCCATGTTAAAAGCAAAGTTGGAGCCGGGCACTGGTGGCTCATGCCTGTAATCCTAGCTACTCCGGAGGCTGAGATCTGGAGGGTTAAGGTTCAAAGCCAGTCCAGGCAGGAAAGTCTACAAGACTCTCATCTTCAATTAACCAGCAAAAAGTTGGAAGTGGAGCTGTGGTTCAAGTGGTAGAATACCAGTCTAGATCGAAAAAGCTAAGGGACAAAGCCCAGTTCCTGAGTTCAAGTCTCACTACTGGTGTGCATGCTTGCATGTGCGCGGGCACACACACACACACACACACACACACACACACGCACCCCCCCCCCACGCTCTGTTCTTATAGTTGTTTTCCCATCTAGCATAGGGTCTGGCAGGAAATTCACAGCTAAAGCAGTCCTGGCTGGCAGAGGCAGTAGGGTTCTTGTGTTTTGCAGAGAGCATCAGGAAGAAAGGAGATGCCCAGCCCAGGAGCTGCACGGCCATGTGAGCCCATGAGACCCTAGCAAGGTGTCACCTGATCAGAAGATGACCACCAGTCAAGGGTGTCACCTGACCGGAAGATGACCATCAACTAAGGGCTTTAGAAACAAGTCACTGTTACCAGATCTTCCAGGCTTTGGAAATGCTGAGCCACGTCAAGACTGGCAGGCAGATATATCTATAACCTTTTTTATAAGGATAGGGTCAGGGGGCTCTTTATAGATCATCACATCATCTGTATATCCAGTGTCTTGGGGTCTCGGACTGCTAAGCCCTGGGGTGCAGAGGACCTCTTTACAGACATAAAACGTAGGCCCAGAAGAGAAGCAGTTTGCTCAGCTTATGCCACTAATGAAGTGTTGGGGTTAGATGTTCAAAGCCAGTATTCCCACCCTGATCAGAAGGAAGGCTCCATCCATCATTTTGTGTGTCTGTGTGTGTGGGGGGAGGTGGGGTCCTGGGGCTTGAACTCAGAGCCTGGATGCTATCCCTGAGCTTGATTTTGCTCAAGGTTGGCGCTCTACCACTTGAGCCACAGTTCTACTTTTGGTTTCATTTTTTTTTTTTGCTTGTTAATTGGAGATCAAAGTCTCATGGACTTTCCTACTTGGGCTGGTTTTGAATTATGATCCTCAGATCTCAGCCTCCTGAGTAGCTAGGATGACAGGTATGAGCCACCAGTTCCTGGCTTATGATTATGATTATTACTAAGAGTCTTGAGTTCAGTCCTCAACACTAGCAATACCACACACATTCATGCATGCGTGTTGCACACACCCCCTAAATTGTCCTAACTGTGAAGTATGGTTAGTAATTTATTAATATTGGTTCATCAGTTGTAATGAATATTTAAGAAGTTACTAGGGGACACTAGTGGAGAAGGAACTATGAAATTCTCATGCCTTCTGTGCATCTTTTTTTGGCAGTCGTAGGGCCTGAATTCTGGGCCTGGGCACTATCCCTCAGCTCTTCAGCTCAAGGCTAGAGCCCTACCACTTGAGCCACAGCGCCACTTACGGCTTTTTTCTGCTTATGTGGTGCTGAGGAATCGAACCCAGGGCCTCAGGCATGTGAAGCAAGCACTCTACCACTGAGCCACCTTCCCAGCCCCTCTGTGAATCTTTTTAAAGAACAAAAATCTATAAAAATAAAACACCTCAAATAAGAAAATGAATAAAAGGCGGGATGGCAGGTATGGTAGTGCACACCTGTAGTCCCATCTACTCAGGAAGCTGAGCCCAGGTGCTACAGTTTGAATCTCCATTCCAGTATCTTCCAAGGCGCATTTGTGGAAGGCTTGGCCCCAGCTGAGGGCACTTTTGGGAGGCGGTGGGGGCTCAGGAGGTGGGCCCAGGAAGTCGGGCCTCGGGGGCGTGGCCCTGAGCACCATTCAAGGATGCAGGGGCTCTTCCTCTCCCTGTTTGTCTCCTGGCCACACGCTTTAGGCTGCACAAGCCTTCAGTGCTGCGGACCGTGGACTGAACCGCTGAAATGGGTAAGCCAAAAGAAATCTCCACTTCTTCCTGTTTCTTCTTTTCTATTTTCTTTTTTGTTGGTCGTGGGGCTTGAACTCTGGGCCTGGGCGCTGTCCCAGAGCTCTTCAGCTCAAGGTGAGCGTCTACCACTTGAGCCACAGCATTTCTGGTTTTCTGGTGGTTTACTGGAGATTAGAGTATCACGGACTTTCCTGCCCGGGCTGGCTTTGAGCCGCAATCCTCAGACAGATCTCAGCCTCCTGAGTAGCTAGGATTACAGGTGTGAGCCACTGGTGCCTGGCTTTTTTTATTATTTTTTTTAAGTCCTATTACCATATGTTTTACAAAGGGGGAGCTACTCTTGTGACATTTCTGCACATGCAATAGTTCTGCACAGTTGCAATAGTTGTGTTTGGTTTTTTTGGGGGGGTCCAGTCATGGGGCCTGAACTCTGGGCCTAGGCGCTGTCCCCTCAGCTCAAAGCTAGCGCTCTACCACTTAAGCCACAGCGCCACTTCTGGCTTTTTGCTTATGTGGTGCTGAGGAATCGAACCCAGGGCCT